TTGATCTAGAATGAGAAGTTAGGTCCAACATGAATTGAAAGTATAATATTGCTCATAGACAACTATACACATCAGTATTAATTACAAACATCATAGATGATGGCTGTTTTGTAACAAATAATGGCATATTAAATTGTATTGAGTAAATTGTATTATCTGGTGACAACCAAAATCTTAATGATAGTAAAATGACCAATTATATAATTCCTTGACTAAGTAAATTCCTAAGGCATGTACCCTTTTTATACATGTTGTTACACAATAATGTAAAGGGATAGAGCGAGATTCAGGCAATTAAGCAGTTTTTCTACTTACCCAGAGTCAGATGATCTCGTGGATACAATTTGTATGTCTCTGCTTGTAGTATGTCTCTTCTTAATTGCCAGAATCTCTCACTACTTTCTGTAATTTCAACAGTAAAAAAACTGTAGAATGCACAGTAAAATTCCGTAAATCTGTTTTACAGCATTAATGCTGTAGATTGCACTGCATTATGGGTAAAACGCTGAAAAAATACTGTTATTAACTGTAAAAATTACAGTTCTTTATAGTAATAGCTTATGCCTACTGTAGATCCACATGATCCGTTTCAGGGGCCAACCTCATTCTGTCCGGTGAGACTTGAATATCAGACTATTTTATTAAATAACTTCTTGAAGCTGCTGTGAAGTGGAAGGACATTTTCAGAAGCTGCTGGGTAGGTACCTTGACTTGTTTATAAGTATCTTTATTGCTAACCAACGTTGAATTACTGCATGTTTTCTTAGCTAACCTAGCTAGTTAGCTAGCTCAAGCCGACTCATGGGCGGCGCACAATTGGCCCAGCGTCGTCCAGGGTAGGGGAGGGAATGGCCGGCAGGGATGTAGCTCAGTTGATCAGGGTTGTGGGTTCGTTTCCCACGGGGGGCCAGTATAAAAAAAATATGTATTCACTAACTGTAAGTCGCTCTGGATAAGAGCGTCTGCTAAATGACTAAAATGTAAATGTAAATGTAAATGTAAATGTTGGCACAAGCCATTTTGGTCTGCTCTAAATTGCTCGTAAATATCTTGCTGTGCGACCTTGAAAGAAATCACCCAGATAATAATTGTTGTGATGATAGGCTTCGCTGTACCGTAGCCTCTGAGTGCCATAGAGAATAAACTGCTTGCAGATTCGGGACCATTATGTTTTCACCATTACTACAGAGAAATGTTCTACAGGGCTTGTTTCTAGCAATTCAAAAGATATGACCATTGGATATGACCCATAGTGTTGTATCGAGGTGCCTGCCGACCTAAGGCGCTTCCACTGGGCAGCTCTATCAGTGTCGCTGGCGGTAGCTAGTAGCGTGGCCAATTTTTTTTTCTCCCAGGATTATATTTAAAGTAGGATAGCAGCCTACACAAGAAATAACTAATATTGGTAGCCATCTAGATGTCACCGTGATACAGTCTACTCAATGGGGAGAGCATGAATGGCAACAACACTGCAACAATGTTATCCTTAGCTGTCACAACCCTGTGTGTAATCCGGTTCACTCGGCTCTCAGCTGTACGACATACGTCCATGTCCGTATAACCTCTCAACAACATTGCTCCATACTGTTACAGTTTTAGCTAAACCTGTCTACTTTACCAGAAGTATGCAAACATGTGGTTGCACAGAAAGAAAGGAAAATGTTTAGAGTCTGGTAAAATAATCTGTGGTATTGTGTAGGCTATAGCAATATTTTATAAGTTAGGTAGGGTTTGAGGTAGGTGTATCTAGCTATCTTATTTGTATTTGTTCAATGCCTCAATTGATTTCATAAACTATATTGGATATATGGCTGTACGGGTTCAAATCAACCCAAGATGATGGAACAAAGTGCATGACAAGGTGGCCCATAGGAAGCCAGCTGTTCTCAACCCCTACATTGCCCCATTCTTCCAAAAGCTCACTGAGTTTGAATGAAGACCTGTGAGGTAAGTACACACACAAACATACACAAATCAAATAAATCACAACACCAGCTTGATATGTACCTTGTCACCTATCTTTTTACCCACAGACTAACAGCCCTGGTGCTCTCTGTCTCTCATTCTATTCTTTCTTTTTCTATGCTTGTCCTAGAGGGGAGAAGAGCTGACAAATCAAAACTGAGGATTGTTACGGAGCCCCATGAGGAACACCTGACGCTGCGCTGACTTCTCTCTCCTGGATGCTCTCCTGCCCAAACTGTCCCGTTGTGTTTCACTGCCTCTAAACCCCCTTACCCCAAATAGTTGCCCTAATGACCATAGATCTAGGATTGTACCCAATCCCAGTTTTAACTCCAACTCCCTCTCTCTCTTTGTCTCTCTCTCCCCCACACCCCACACACACAGGCACACAATATCGTTTTTAAATTAGTGTTGTAATTATGCTCTTATTTGGTTACATATGTGTTAACTGTTCTTACTTCTATTGTCAATTCTGTTGTTAATTTGTTGTTAATGTTATTACCAATTTAAATAAATGTATTTTATGCACAAATGTATAATTTTTCTTACATTTAGATTTCAGGGAGAATTTCACTGTATATTTACAGCATTATACTGTCACCAGAGTTGCCAGCTCAATACTGTAATATTGCTGTAATATATTTGACAATACTATTTTCCTTACTGTAAAACATTACATCATCCCCTTACAGAAGGGATGCTGTAATATGTTTTACAGTATGGAATAGTACTGTAAAATATATTACAGCATATCGGCTGTAAAGCAAAATTACAGTATTAAGCTGGCAACTCTGGTGCAAGTATAATGCTGTACATTTACAGGGAAAAGTTTTACTGTGTATCCCTTTAATAATTGCTTTGTAATGACCTAGTAAGGGAGTTGTTTTCAAGTCTTCCTATTTGCAGCTGTGTAACAATAAAAACTGCTTAGCAACAGGTGTCAGAATGTGTAATTACTAATCAATTATCAAATTACTATAAGAACATGTTAATACAATGTTGTTACAAGGGTAATTGCAGCATTACTTACTATATACGTTTAGAGCAAGTTAATGTAAAGTGTTACCCTGCATTGTAATCCAAATAATTATATTACCTCAGAATAAAATACTCTGTGGTTGTTAATATGATGATGCACAAATCATGTGTGACGCAGAAACGCTTCAAAAGTCATGTCTGATTTCTCTAGTGTGTTTAAGAGAGTGAAAACAGACAGTGGAGAGTTCATTTGCAGATTAATGTGTCATCCATACTCTACATCTGTTCACACATCCAGTAGCGGCGAATTCCTCATTAAAACATGCTTAGGCATACTACTTAGTTTATTCTACCGCATTATTTTTCTAATCCACTGTAGAAGTTGAAATATAGCATGCTGACATATCAAGAATTGCCAACTTGATCAAATTATGTTTTATGTATTATTCCGAATTTATTGTATCTGATTAAAGGTAGACTCCATGATATGACGCAGATGCCGAAAGTAAACGGCATATTGGGTAAATTTCCGCAACAACTAAGAGCATTGACGTGCAAGGCTCAACTTCTCTGCTCTTTTGGTCCCGTGGCTACTGTGTGAGAGTGAAGTGTTGCATCTCGCTCATCTCAATATCTGTGGTGCTGCTTGTGGCAATGTAATTTTGCTCTACCTTTAAATACACTGGATTAAGTATGACTAATGTGACAAATAAATAAACTCACAATAATCTGATCAAAATATAGGACTGGGGATTATATTTTTAGAAGTATGCCTAGGCCTATCGGTAGGTGTGGTGAATTGATGATGGCCATGGGGATCGGTAAGAGGCTTATAAGGCAGTGTCCTTGAGCAATCTGTTACCTTCTCCTGGTTTTGCCTCACTGACCCTCTATTCAGGAACTGCTGAATTAGTTGAGGCTTTATACCTACTCTTAGAATGTTTGCAGTCAGGTGGTTTGATGGACGTCAATCTCTGACTACACATTACGAATAACATAAATATTCATACTAACAATGCTCATTGTTAAATGCTATTCCCAAGATAAAAAGGTGCATAAACAGCATTCTCATATATCCCTGGTCAAGAGCAGTTATTTCCATTACTGTACATTGTAACTCAGGGCTACTGTGCTATCCTAGTCTGTACACACCTCCTCAATCACACTGGCACTATTTGTGGCTCTTTCAATATATTTTATTTGGTGTTAGCCCCTTGTCTCTGACAACTGTTCCCGTTGTTCCAGTATGAATAACGTCCTAGCCCTGCATAGTAAACTGCCTGTCTGTCCACATTAAAATGAAAACCATCATTCATTAACTGCATCCTGCTGGCTGCCTTGTAATCTGATTACACTGCCCAGGGGGGTTCTCAGCTGTTGGCATCATTCACTTCAAGCCATTGCTGGCTCATTGAAAACCAATAGCGGTGACTGATTGACTAAATAATTGTAGTTGAATTGCTTATAATATGCCATTTAGCAGACTCTTTTATCCAAAGCGACTTACAGTCATGCGTGCATACATTTTTACGTATAGGTGGTCCCGGGGATTGAACCCACTACCCTGGCATTACAAGTGCCATGCTCTACCAATTGAGCTACAGAGGACCAACAGGACCAACTTATGATCCTAGCTCCCTTACTCCCAACCCCTGCTGTGCTCGAGTTCTGTCATTGCCATCCCATTCCACTGTACTGTTCAGTATATCAATGTACTTCTGATCAAGCCCTCGTATATTGCTGTTGTTGTTTATTCACTGAAGTGATAGCATAAGGTTTGAAATAATTAATATTTCCCAAGACTTAAAACAAGTATTTCCAATTAATGACTAATCGCCGTTTGTCTTTTCCTTCCAGACGAGAGCACCATTGGACCTCATGGATGGATAGAAGACGGCTATAAAGGGATTATTTTGGCTGCCGAACACAGGAGGCACGCTGTGCCAAGAGGGATCAACTGGAGGCAGACACTTCAACAGCCATTTATCCTGTTATGGAACCAATGTGCGTTGTTTGATACAGCAACACGGTGATAAAGCGCTAACGGCTTTAGCAGAGAGACAAGGTCCGGCGTGTTGGAATACTTCTCGAAGGAATTTACCCTGTTGGACAGGGGATTTAGGGATTTTTTGCCATGTGTCAAATCAGCTTGCCAGCCGCCCCAAATGACAGTCTCCCTTGACAGGAGAGAAGCGAGTCGTCAACGAAAGATGGCCGACAACGCCATCCCACCCCTGATGCTTTTGTCTACAGGGCAAATGCGTTGGGGTGGAGTACTTCCAGGTTTCATCCTACCCTCTTTCCCTCTTTTTTCTCTACTCCTCTATACTCTCATATCTTCCTCAATGGCTGTTGTTAGTTTGCCGGGATTAGACTATGACTATGGAGCCCAGCCCAAGTTTGTTTGCACCCCAATTCCAGCGGACGCAGACCCCAGCTGCTTCACACCAGGTGGGGCAGCACACGGACCTGCCCACGACAGACCCAGCAGTAATGGGCATCATGGACCTGCTGCAGGGGCACCCAATGGTAATGGCAGGAGGCCGATGGGAATGGGAATGGGGATAGGAATATCAGACGAGGCCAAATCCACCATCCTGCACCTTCGAGAGAGCCTGGTGCGGCAAAAGGAGACCATCTTAGACCAGCGGGAGACAATCAGGGAACTGACTGCCAAGCTGACCCTCTGTGAGGGCTTTGGCCGGGGGGTGGGTCATCACGATGACCATCACGACGACCACCATGGACCCGCGCGTCACAACTCCCATCACCCGAGCTCGCACCACTCCTACCATGACACTGACCACCATGGGGACCCACACTACCCACTGAACAACGGGCACCGATCAGACCCACACCACAGAGGAAAGGACAACTCTGGGAGCAAGCATGGGGCCTTCTCCCCTGAGCAGACTAGGAAAACACTACAGACACTCAAGGAGAGGCTGGAGAACTTGCAGGTGAGTGGGAACAGCATCAAATGATGAGTAGGAAAAGGGATAGGAAGCTTATTTGCCCTTTGTGTAAATAGAGGTCATCTTATGCGTCACTACGGGACACTGTTTGTCTCGCTACTGACCTGAAATTAGGCACGACAAAGGGTGTTTCCGGCTTTCTCCCACGCCTTGAGGATATAAGTGGCCTACAGCCCAAGCTCCATCCGTGTGTGCGTATGAAGACCTAAATTGATTAGTTAATTATCCTGACTCTCACCATAGGGTAGTCTTGCACTGATGCCATGGGAATTTATGAAGCCTAGGAGAGGGTCCTGTTGAGTGATTGTATGACATTATGACCATTGACACTAACAACCAACTGAACACAGTTTATTTATTTATTTTGTACTCTTAATTTTCCCATGCATTAATGAAGTTCCAGTATAGATTCAAAATCCAACTTAATTGACAACTATTTTTGGGATTATGAAAGATATTTTTTTTAACTCTAATGAATTATTTTTTCTCATTATGAACCATCTGTGTTATCAATTCAGAGGACCAACAGGTCGCTTAAAGTGATTCTAGCACTCCATATTGAATTGTAAGACTTGCTATAAGACTTGGTATACAGTCTTAGACAAAAAGGTGCTATCTACAACTTCAAAGGGTTCTTCGGCTGTCCCCATAAGAGAACCCTTTGGGGGGGGGGGGGGGGAATCGATATATCTGCCGATATAGTGTTTTACAGCAGGGAGATTAAAAAGTGAAAATGTTCCACACTGAGTTCTCTTATATTGCAATCCAAAAGAGCAATTGTCAAAAAACATTGCTTCAAATGTTGATTTCTTACATTGTGACAATAATGACAATTCACTTTTTTTCATCCCATTTATTGAATATCAGTTATCGGTGGATTTGTCAGCCAATATCGATATATCGGTATGAGGCCAATATCGGCCGATAATATAGATGAAACGATATATTGGTCAGGCTCTAAAAAGAAACTGTTACCAAAAATTATTGCTATAAAACATCAGATAGGCTTATAGCCTATACAAGCATTAATAACACTTAATAACACTGGTGGTTCATAGAAAGTGTTACCAAGAATCCTTTGTCTTGAGGGTGACAAAGACAGTACAGCTGAGATTGGAGTTCCGTCACCTAACAGGATGTCTATGCCACAAACCGGTGTCCAAGCATTGCAGGGTGCTAGACACCTTCAATGCCAATTAGCATCATCCATAGTGATGAGCTAATAATCTTGGTGTGCTCTGGCACTGAGTAAAGCTGGATTTGATCAGAGACACTGACAGAAGTGGAGGTAGGGAAGGAAGGAGGTTGCCAGGGAGAGAGGAGCAGGCTTTAAATGTCCTTATGCCTAACCAAATTATTATTATTTCATTTATCTGCCCACTTGGAGAGATTAGGAGTAGCACAATATGGCCGAATTAAGCAACCCAGAACGGGCTTAAGTAGAAGAGGTGTCTTTAAAACAAAACAAAATATAAATGCATTTGAGCATCCTTGAAAAAAAAAATACAATTCAGCTCTTTAAAAGTTATATTATGGAAATACATTTCCACTGATATGCTCCACAAAGTTTTAATAACCAAGCACATGGACTAATAATAAGGTATGCAAACATTTCCTATTATAACTATTATTAATTATCTCTCTTTCTCCAGGCCAGGAATTCCTCCAGCTCCTACTCAAGCTCTCTGAGAGACCTCCTGCAACGCAAAGTCAATGCACTTGAGAAGCAGCTCAACAATCACTACGGTGGGCATCATGATTATGGTCACCATGACGACCACCACGATGACCACCATGACGACCACCACGATGACCATCCTGACGACCACCACGATGACCACCATGAACCCGGTCACCACGATGACCACCATGATGATCATCACGATGACCACCACGGACCCGGTCACCACGACGATCACCATGATGACCATCACGACACCCACACCCCCACCCGCCACAACAACCGCCACAACAACCGTCAAAACAGTCACCATGATGACCATCACTATGACCGACACTATGACCACCATTATGATCGTAGCAATGGCCGCCATGACATCCACCATAACGACCACCATGACGATCACCATGATGACCATCCCGATGACCGTCTTGGCGAACACCATGACGACCATCATGATGATCACCACGACGACCACCACGATGATCTTCACGATGACCACCATGATGACCACCATGGAAATGGTCACCATGATGATGATCACCATGGCAATGATGACCATGGCCATCACCCTCGTCCATCCTATAACAGCAAGCCGCCAGCTCCAAGACCTCTTGGCCGTGGACACAACAAGCTGGAAACTGTGCTGAGCCACCTTAACCACAGGAACACTGACCCTGGTATTGAAACTCTCTGATAATAATCCACTTTGATACTGTATACTCTTTTCCGAGATATATCATGCATTCCGTATTGCAGCTGCAGGGACAGATATTCAGAATGTTTTGGCAAATTACTTTAATTTCACACCTCAGCTGTTCATTGCTCATATTTAGCTGTTTTGTATTCCAACAGGTAGCCGGAAAAAGCCAAAGAGTCCGGATGCTTTCCAGATTGGCTTCCCTATGCGCACTAACTACATGTATGGAAGGATAAAAAGGACCCTACTCAACGAAATCTTCGCCCTCACTGTCTGCCTCTGGATAAAAGGGGGATCAGGGCCTGGCCTCGGCACGCCCTTCTCCTACTCTGTCCCGGGACAGGCCAACGAACTGGTTCTGATCGAATGGGGCAACAACCCCATGGAACTACTGGTTAACGACAAGGTAAGAGCATGATTGAATATTTTGCATATTTTCACATTGTGCCCCTAGTGACCAATTTGCGAAGATATGTATTCTCTGCACTCACTTCTTACACACATACAGTGCATTTGGAAAGTATTCAGACGCCTTGACCTTTTCCACATTGTTACGTTACAGCCTTATTCTAAAATGGATTAAATGAAAAATTGTCCTCATCAATCTACACACAATACCCCATAATGAGAAAGCGAAAACAGGTTGAGACATTTTTGCATATGTATTAAAAATAAAAAAACAGAAATACCTTATTTACATAAGTATTCAGAACCTTTGCTATGAGACTCGAAATTGAGCTCAGGTGCATCCTGTTTCCATTGATCATCATTGAGATGTTTCTACAACTTGATTGGAGTCCACCTGTGGTAAATTCAATTGATTGTACATGATTTGGAAAGGTACACACCTGTATATGTAAGGTCCCACAGCTGACAGTGCATGTCAGAGCAAAAACCAAGTCATGAGGTCGAAGGAACTGTCCGTAGAGCTCCGAGACAGGATTGTGTCGAGGCACAGATCTGGGGAAGGGTACCAAAAAATGTCTGCAGCATTGAAGGTCCCCAAGAACACAGTGGACTGCCAAACTTAGCAATCGGGGGAGAAGGGCCTTGGTCAGGGAGGTGACCAAGAAGCCGATGGTCACTCTGATAGAGCTCCAGAGTTCTTCTTTGGAGATGGGAGAAACTTCCAGAAGGACAACCATCTCTGCAGTACTCCACCAATCAGGGCTTTTTGGTAGAGTGGCCAGACTGAAGCCACTCCTCAGGCACATGACAGCCTGCTTGGAGTATGCCAAAAGGCACCTAAAGGACTCTCAGACCATGACAAAAAAGATTCTCTGGTCTGATGAAACCAAGATTGAACTCTTTGGCCTGAATGCCAAGTGTCACATCTGGAGGAAACCTGGCACCATCCCTACGGTGAAGCATGGTGGTGGCAGCATCATGCTGTGGGGATGTTTTTCAGTGCAAGAGACTGGGAGACTAGTCAGGACTGAGGGAAAGATGAATGGAGCAAAGTACAGAGAGATCCTTGATGAAAACCTGCTCCAGAGAGCTCAGGACCTCAGACTGGGGGCGAAGGTTTACCTTCCAACTGGACAACAACCTTAAGCACACAGGCAAGATAACGCAGGAGTGGCTTCGGAACAAGTCTCTGAATGTCCTTGAGTGGCCCAGCCAAAGCCCAGACTTGAACCTGATCGAAATCTCTGGAGAGACCTGAAAATAGCTGTGCAGCGACGCTCCCCATCCAACCTGACAGAGCTTGAGAGGATCTGCAGAGAAGAATGGGAGGAACTCCACAAATAAAGGTGTGCCAAGCTTGTAGTGTCATACCCAAGAAGACTCAAGGCTGTAATCGCTGCCAAAGGTGCTTCAACAAAGTACTGAGTAAAAGGTCTGAATACTTATGTAAATGTTATTTCAGTTTTTTATTTGTAATAAATGTGTAAAAATGTCTAAAAACCTGTTTTTGCTTTGTCATCTTGGGGTATTGTGTGTAGATGGTGAGGGGGAAAAAACAATTTAATACATTTTAGAATAAGGCTGTAACGTAACAAAATGTGGAAAAAGTCAAGGGGTGTGAATACTTTCCGAATGCACTGTACATTCTTCTACTGTATAGTTTCTTACTATGATGTGTCATACTTAACATTTAGAAAGGAGTGTTTCAACATTTCTATCATCATTTTAAGTAAGCTTATGTTATCAGTCAGTTGCCCCATTGGCAGCACAAGTGGAAATCAATCACATCAAGGCAAGCAAGCTCACACTTCAGTGGCAGGTGACTCCATTGTCATCCAATCAGGCACCAGAATTCGATTTATCTCCTGTCCTCAAGGAACGAGGCAGGAGGCAGTTGTGGCAGTTACAGTTCACCTGCAGCCTGCTCTCACCCCGTCTTGTCCCCTTACAGACAGTGGCCCTGTCCTCATCTATCATCCTCCCTAATGGCATTAGACCTCAGAGGGCAAAGGGCAAGCAGCTTACCTAGCACAGTCATGCGGAGAGGCGTCTCATGACAGGGAGGACGCTGGGATAGACACATGGTCTGGGCCCATACTGTACCTGTGCATGAGTCAGGGGTTCACCCAGACAAGAGGGGATTTGGTGGTTCAACCTGGGAGATCTACCTATTCACAAAACCTGACAAATCTTTCATAAAATATCTCCCAAAAACAAAAAAACATTTGTGTTGAATTTTTTCTAAATGCCCAAGACAATGAGGCTACAGTCAGCCAATATACCAATAAATTAACCTAGTAATAATCTCTCTTTCTCCGAACAGAACTTTGCCCTTTTCTCTCACAGAAATCTTTTGTTTAGACCCTTTGGATTGAGCCAATCAATCAATCAGCCAGTGTCTCTATTTCTCTGCACAGGCAGTGACGTTGCCCATGGCAATGACAGATGGGAAGTGGCACCACCTGTGCATGACATGGTCAACACATGATGGGCATTGGGAGGCCTTCCAGGACGGCGTAAAAAGGGGGTCTGGAGAGAACCTATCTGCATGGCATCCCATCAAGCCTGGTGGAGTCTTTATTCTGGGCCAGGAACAGGTACAACTATATGTTTTCTCTCTATGAATTTGCATACTCAAAGTTCTGAAGAACATATAAAAGCTGGAATAAGAACTGAAATTTCAAACAGTGCCCACTGCTGCCTCCAAATGTTACCAGCAGGGAATTACCTGTCACACTTACAGTGTGTGTGTTTGCTGATTTTAGGCTTTGCAGAACACAAAAAGCTGTTAATACAATCATGTTAAAGCGGATTATCATTTAGTTGTGTCCTGAGAAGACACAGGCTATTGCCAAAAACTAAGCTTAGAAATCAACTTCAGCATTTTAGCTAATTAGCAACTACTTACTATTTTTTGCTACTTTGCAACTAGTAGCATGTTACCTAACCCTTTCCCTAACCTTAATCCTAACCTTTAACCTTACTCCTAACCCTAACCTTAACCCCTAACCCATAGCCTAGCTAACGTTAGCGTTAGCCACCTAGCTAACATTAGCCACAACATATCATATGAATTGTAATTCATAACATATCATTCGACATGGATGATGGACATCCACAAATTAATTCATACCATACAAAACATAACATATCAAACTAATTGGAATGTCCCAGATTTACATTGTTACATCTACACCGAGTCCAGATTGGAGCATCTGCTAAATGACTAAAATGTATATGTAAAATAACTGATCCCTCTGAAGCATATTACAGCTAAAACTGTTGCTAATGCTTCAAATTCATCACTCGGTTTGGGCTTCCTTGGGAGATCCACTCTGACCAGGGTTCAAATGTCATGTCTAGTGCGTTCCAGGAAGTGACTGATGATTTAGGCTACAAACAAAAAGTTACCATGAGACTAGGCCATGAAATGGTTTAAGTACGAAGGTTGATTGATCTGAACTGCCTAGTTTTAGAACGTTGTTGGCGATTAACCAACCTTGTTTTGAAGGGGAAAAAGGTGGAAACTCAAAGACGAGACAAATCTGTTTAAATAATTGTGTATTGATATTTTATTGTGGGACATCTAGTACTTGTACATGTTTTGTGGACCTTTAGTCTTAACAATTACCCTGTGCTTTCCTAACAGGATACCCTAGGTGGCCGATTTGATGCCACCCAGTCCTTCGTGGGCGAGATGTCAGACCTCCAATTGTGGTCCCGCGTTCTCACACCCAATGAAATCTACAGCCAGGCTTCCTGCGGAGGTCACCTGGCGGGTGACCTCATCTCCTGGACAGAGGCAGTGGTCGAGCTTCACGGCGGGGTCACCAAATACCCCTTTGACCCCTGCCACTAAGGACTAACCCACTCTGCCTCATCAAAATGGCTGGTCACCAAGCCCCTGATATCAGTTAACCAGCTGTCTGGTGTGGCAGCAGGGCTCTGTGTGCTACGCTGCAGACACATGACAGGCCCTTAGCAACAAACCAAGCTGGCCCTTAGCAACTAGAACGGGCCATTCTGCTATTTTGCCATCCCTTTCCTCTCTGTTCTGCCTTACCCCTCGCTGGGCCGAGGAACTGGGAAGACTTTCAAAGGCTGGATTTAACTGAATGGCCATGACCGCTGCTGCTCCCGGGATCCAATACCGGTAATAGGATTCCCTGTCTCTAACTGGGTCCACCCATGTATGCCCCGGCCTTAGCAAAGCCCTTTATCAGTCAGGTGTTCAAAGAATCATAACATTTTACTGGGACATATTATGCTGGGATATGGTTCTCAAAATCCTAATACTCCAGATGTTATTTGTTCATCTTTCTGTTTTTGACTGGTGAGCAGGATGATACCAGTGACTAAAAGGAACGCACTGAGGTAGAATGCTCATAAACCAACTGTGGAACATTTTGAAATTAATCAACTAAAGGCACTCAAAACAGAGCCATGGAGATAGCAAGTGTATGAGGTAGAAGACATTGATAATGATTTGATGATTGAATGTGATGAATGTGAGGTATTACATTGTATTTTTTGTACATGAAGATGGAAGATCTCATCTAGGGATTTTTTTTTTGGGGGGTGGATTTTAGGACTCTATCTTTCTCACAAAAATGTTAGAGGACTATTTTTTACTACTGTGTTGTACACACAAACAACTGATCAACATTCCACTGGATTTTTCAGATAAATTTAGCTCGTACAAATAGCTGATGGTGTTCTGCTTTTGGTTGAGGATTTGCTTTGTCTATTTGCGAAAACATTGTATTTTTGTAAGTATGCCTATGTGTTTTAAAAAAGTTGAAAATTGACATTTTGTCAACTGGATTATCTGTTTTAATACAGGAATATCTGTTATAACACAGCAAAGCTTTTGGGTATGGTTTCGATTTGTATTTCTATCAGTGTGTCTGAAATGGCTGCCAGGATTTATGAAACACCAGAGTTGAAGTTGTCAAGTCTGACATGTGGACATGAGCCTGCATAAACACAGGTTAACTGGCTGTCAAGAGGTATAAGGTAATGCTGATCTCCATGGTAACTTGTGGTTTACAGTGGGATTTACCTTACAAGTAGAGCTCTGATCTAGATGGACTATTTCCGTGCTGTCATAGCATACACATCCTCTTAAATACAATCACACATGCATGCACATGCACACAAAACAGCTTGAAAAAAAAAGCAACGCTGTAATGGTCTAAATGCTTATATTCACTGTCAACCTCACGTAATGTTTGTTTTTCTATTAATTGGGTCCTATGTTTTTATGCCTGTAAAATGCTTATAAAAATAAAAAATAAAATAAAAATTAAATATATATATATATATATATATATATATATATATATATAGCCTCTCTTGAATATCAACTGTCAAATTACATAAACAAATACAAACCATTTCTTTTTTTTTGTAAATATAAGGCATTGTACACAACAACGCATCCTTTCCTTGTCTAGCCTTTCATTGCATATGGTCATCCCTTTTCTGTCTGTAAAGCATACAAATGAGGAATTTATTTAATTGTATTTGTTTACTTACCCCCATTTCACTGTAGGCTATTAAGTTCAGAATGTCTATCATCTCATTGAATCACATGAACACTGATCATAAAATGGTAATATGTTGTTGCCATGGTGATAGTATAGAACTCGGCTGGACATGCCCCCTGACAACTAATAATCATTACAACCATTACAGTACACAACCATTACAGTAGGCTACGTTTGTAAATATTTGTTAATGCACCTTTGTGAGAGGACATAGTGGTCTGGATTGTTTTATAAGAGTTTATAATGCCAAGTTGAGCATTAAAAACCCATGCTCCCATTTTCTGTTCCTAATAGTGGGCCAAATGTATGTGAAGTAAAAAAATATATATATATGTTTCTCATTTGTTACATATAAAAAATACTATTGATTAATGAATGCTAATATAACTGTATATAATTCAGGTTAAACATAGCATTAAATACAGTTTTATAACCAGGATCTATGTTGCTTCCATAAAGTTTGCTTAATCTCGCCTTTGGTATACATTTTAATCTGTATATAAATACTTTTTTTCCTTGTCTGTAAATATTGAACAACCTTTTACTTATTAATTATTGTGTGTTTGGTCAAAAGTCCCTTTCCTTTGTGTGTAAGCCAAAATTGTAAAATGAATCATAAAACTGAAATGAGGAAGACATGCATTAACTCTGTTAAATATTTGTAAATAAAATCAAGATTTTGAAAAAAATTATTGCATATCTCATGAATGGATATTTCATGTAATTTCTTTCATTGCTGGTCAGTCTTAACCTGAAAGGCTGGTGTTGGTCCAATATTTTGCTCCAGTCAAGCAGTAACACTCCTAATTAAAGCATTGAATAAAGACTGTTAATATTTGTTAAAACTGTGATTAGTAGAATTGGATGTGTTACTGCTTGGATGGAGCAAAAGCTTGCAAGGTAAGATTTCCAAACATGGAGTATGCTGGGAAGGGCAGCTACTGCTGTATTGCTTACACATTTCCAGTCCCTTTACAGATCTGTGAACACCAAAGGGGTAAAGGATGGGGGCCTACATACAAAGGAAGCAGAGGCATGACTCATGATGATCATTCGGAGTCCACCTTGTTGGCCACAAGAGGGTGTGAGGTGTTCTGTATGTTCAGTAGCCTATATCATCATGACGGCTTAAAGACCAAATAAAAGTCAAAATTAGAATGCTGCAGCTTTGTTTTCTATGCTTTAAAGTGGCAATAAGCACAATAACAAAGATCATACATCATATATAATCTACAAGATAAGAAGAACAAAGTATGATACGAAATACATTTACTTTTGGCAAGGCTTGGGCACAATATAGGCTAGGTTTGGAATATCCGACAGCAATAGCAATGCTACAGGTCCTCATATTTTTAAGGATAAAACTGTAGCCTATATTAACTCACAATATTAACTGTAGCCTCGGATCTGTACAGTATGTTTTTTTCTTTCGTATAGCACTTTCAAACCCCCAAGAATGTTGTACGCCTTGATATTTGCCTATGTTGAGAACAGAGCTGATAAGCGTGCAGAGGGTGCGTGCTGTTGGAAGAATTCAAATCCTGTGGCTGCCGGTCTTAACTGGCTGGTGTTTATCAGTTGCCAAAACAAGACTCTCACACAGCCTACAAATGGGCCCGCTTAAAAGCATAACATAGCACCTAAGCCGCGTCGGTTGAAACAGATATGATTATGGATTATTGAGGATGAGGGGATAAGGGGAATGTTTGGCAACACTGTAGGTGTCAAAGTATAGATACGCTCTGCATTTTTAAACAATAGCAGTTGTTATCTAAGCACGGAGGGTATTTGAATAGAAGTCTTGGGGTTGTACATTGTGTTTTGTTATGGCCTACATACTGATTGCTGACATCTTTATTTTGGGTGCCATGTTGAATTGGTCTGACCAAGACAACACCTACAAACCAGGGCCAGGTTTCCCAAAACCAACTTAAGGCTAAGTTAATCTTAGAACCATAAGATCCTTAAGATGTTTTGGGAAACCGGGCGCTGGAGAACCACAGATATTCTTAACAGAAACGTCACCACAAGCTACATAAAGTTCTTACAAGTTGTCCGAAAACATCAAAATAGAATAAGGGTGTTTGACCATAATAAAAATGTTTCCTGCCTAACAGGTTTTGCTATCAAATGTACTTTGCATGAAACTAAGGGTGACATACCGTCTCAACGCTCATTTGGGAGGTGGAACTCAGGAGTGCTGGATCTATTCTCTGTCTCCAGAAGTCTCCGACTGCTCTGGGAGAATGGGAGTCATAACACCAGGGGAGAATGGGATGTCTGGACCAGGCCTGCTACATCCTAAAAAGACGGAGGGGGCAACAGAGAGAGGTGATGCCGTTACCATAAAATGATAGCACATTTTATCCAAAGAAAAAAGCTCAGATCAAGTCCAAGTCTGGATTATTGCCTGTTTGATGTCTAAAACACACAATGCTGTATTTTTTTGTGTGAAATATGTCTATAGTGACATTACTGTGTGTGGCTGAACTATTCCCCCTACCCCTCTCAGATTGGTGGTTTACACAGTACAGACAGTTATCACATTACCTGGCCCTGCTCTGTTTTCTACTGACCATGGCCACACTCCTACAGACCTTTTACTGTGAGTTTTATTAGGTCATCATTTTTTATTAAATAGATTCAAGGGTCAGAAATAGGAGTCAACTGATTGACATTGTTATGGAAGGTCAAGACTTGAGGTTTTAACCCTAACTTGACCTTTTAATTATAATTGGCTCTCAATGCTACCTCATCCTCACATTGCACTTTCACTGTTTTGTATCCATGCAATGGGGTCGCGGGGGGGCCATGATGCAGTGGTGCAGATCACCTTGGTCTTCCAATCCCAGTCCACCTTGCAGGAGGTCAGACTCAAAGACCTGACTCAGAAGCTGAACACCCTGAACCACTCCTACCTCCTCCTCTTCCACAAGTACCCAGCACTCAACCAGTACTGTCCCGTCACCAATAGCAACACCAATGGTGAGCACACATTCATGTTGATCAAACTCTTGCTATGATGCCATTAATTATGAAGAGGTTTGTGTGAGTTTGCATAATCATGTGAGCTCTGCAAGGCCTAATATAACATGAGTGCTTTTAGCTGGGACGTGGAGGATGGCCTATTGGAAAAAATACTCTAATCCAATAATCTGTTCAATATATGGACAGGCAGAGAAAAGATGATGAAGGATCACCAGGATCAACTTAAAATTCCAAAATGGCTGATAATGACAAGATGAGTGAAAATGGGGTACTATCACACTAGGCCTAGGCTCTAGGCCTGGTATCATAATAAGAGCATTGCTTTAGCTATTATCAGATCATATTGTAACACAATATATAATCACCACTTTATGGTTTTAAGAGTATTTTTTATTGATATATTTAGGATATATTTTTATTTATACAGGTGATCCTATAGAGATTGAAAAACCTATTTTACATGGGGGACCTGTTTCACCCCTGTTTCACCCCTGTTCACCTTTACCCCCATAACATTGACTAACCTCTGGCGTAACCTTCCACCTGTTTCACAGAGCGTGTGTGCATGCCGTGCCCAGAGGGATGGGAGTCTTTTGGGGAGAGATGCTACCTATACACATATGACAGACGGGACTGGATTTCCAGCCAGTACCACTGTCTGTCTGTAGGGGGCAACCTTGCCATGGTGAAGAGTGAGGAGGAGCAGGTGCGACAGCCATGAACAACATCACCCAATGATACTGATACACATTAAGGTTTCTTTGGAGGAATGTATTGTAGCCTATTTCTCAATTCTCAAATGTGGATCTCATTTGAATCAAGAGATGATTTAGAACCTGAATCATGACAAATCAAAATCCTCACAAAAACCCAGAGCTTTGGAGGTAAATGGAGAACTGAGATTTACTGAGAATTACCTGGAACTATTGCCAATATATAGGCTGCTCTATCACTCAAAGCTGTGGTATCCCTTTATACAGTAGGCCTAATACAGACACAAACATAATCTAAGGTCAGTCATTCATGTTTAGGCACATTGCATTCACTGTGCAATGGAGTACATTTGACCCCCTCAGTTAAAGTTAATTATAGATTTAGGAGTTCTACGAAAGTGTAGGGCCATGTCTATTTGAGGCATCCATCTGAGTGTTGCATTTTTCTCAGATCTTCCTGTGGAAGAGAGCCAAGGAGTTGAGCCAGGGAGACTCCTACTGGATCGGCTTAAGGAATGGTAACCCAGGCGGGGCCTGGCACTGGGTGGACGACTCCCCGGTGGAGAAGGGGTAACTTAGAATCTTAACTTAGTTATGGAAGATTTGCCTCTGAGGATAGTCTTGAGCTAAAAAAGGTCCCGTAAATGGATAGAAATATTGTCCAGAAATTACCTGAGTTTGGATCTCAATTCTATCATTTGACGTGGAGTCCTGTATCGAGACTCGAGACTGCATTACGCAAATCACAGTACCATATGAGGATACTTACTGTATGAGGTCTCATTGAAGAGATATTGGCATAGTTAAGCGCATTACGAGATAATATTTATTGCCATACGTCCATTTTATATGATGAAACTATATGTATGATGTATTACTTATGTATTACTCTGCATTGATGGTTATTTCATGAAGTAACCAAATGTATTTAAAGTACATGGTCATTTTGTTAAAAAAAAGTCTAACTGATGGAGACTGTGTTACCTCTACAGGTTTTGGGACATATTTTGGGATCACGAGCCAGAGAAGGGGGACACCAGGGAGCTGTGTGCCCGGCTGTCACCAGGAGACAGCCACAGGGCCGGTTGGTACGCCACCATGTGCAAGAACAGCCTGAAGAGCATCTGTGAGAGGACCCAGGGCACCCTGCAGTGACATACTGTCTCAGAAGAGGGGAGAAAGGGGAAGGGAGAGGGTAGGGTAGTCACAGAGTGCAGTATGATTACATTAAATACAAATAATAAGTTGCATGGACTCACTCTGTGTGCAATAATACTGTTTAACATGATGTATGAATGACTATATCATCTCTGTACCCTACACACAATTATCTGTAAGGTCCCTCATTCGAGCAATGAATTTCAAACAGATTCAACCACAAATACCAGACATTGAATATCCCTTTGATCATGGTGAAGTTATTAATTACACTTTGGATGGTGTATGAATACACCCAGTCACTACAAAGATACAGGCATCCTTCCTAACTCAGTTGCCGGAGAGCAAGGAAACTGCTCACGGATTTCACCATGAGGCCAATGGTGACTTTAAACAGTTACAGAGTTTAATGGCTGTGATGAGAGAAAATTGAGGATGGACCAACAACATTGTAGTTACTCAACAATACTAACCTAATTGACAAGAGTGACCAAGGAATCTTTCACAATGGAGCCCTGCATTTTACAATTTCACACATTTTACAAAATATAAATATAAAATACAAGAGAATACAAAAATACAAAATTACAGACACTCTCAAGAAAAATAATCACATTCCTCAACAAAGTCCTTGATCAACATTTTGAACTGCCTGAGAGGCACCAATGTGTCTAGTTTAAGGGAACTCTGAAGATTGTTCCATACATGGGGTGCATGGAAACTAAAGGCTGCTTTTCCAATGTCTGTAGCAACACACAGAATTTCAAGAGTTAGCATCCCTGTGATCGGGAATGGTAACATGTAGTTCTATGGGTACGTAAAGATGTCAGGTATTGTGGGGGTGTCCGACGTAACGTCAAAGAGACCCAACCTACTTACCGATAGAGCAAGTAGTGGTGAGTGCAAAACCTGTCACCTGTGATAAATCGAAGTGCACTATGGAAACACTGCATTCATGTAAATGACGTCACCATAGTCTACGACAGGAAGAAACATTGATTGCATTCTACTATTTAGTGATAGGTATGACCTATTTCTATAGAAGGGCATTTTTATCCTCAGTTTCTTAAAGTAACTGTCCAGTGATTCCAGATTTCTATGAAATATGACTTATAATTAATTACAATACGAGTTAAATAGTTTTCCTTCCAAAAAATGGTAATTAAGTACAGTACCAGTCAAACATTTGGACACACCTACTCATTCAAGGGTTTTCTTTATTTTTACTATTTTCTACATTTTATAATAGTAGTGAAGACATCAAAACTATGAAATAACACATATGGAATCATGTAGTAACCAAAAAAGTGTTAAACAAATCAAAATATATTTTATATTTGAGATTCTTCAACTAGCCACCCTTTGCCTTTATGACAGTTTTGCACACTCTTGGCATTCTCTCAACCAGCTTCACCTGGAATGCTTTTCCAACAGTCTTGAAGGAGTTCCCACCTATGCTGAGCACTTGTTGGCTGCTTTTCCTTCACTGCCGTCCGACTCATCCCAAACCATCTCAATTGGGTTGAGGTCAGGGGATTGTGGAGGCCAGGTCAACTGATGCAGCACTACATCACTCTCCTTCTTGGTAAAATAGCCCTTACACAGCCTGGAGGTGTGTTGGGTCATTGTCCTGTTGAAAAACAAATGATAGTCCCACTAAGCCCAAACCAGATGGGATGGCGTATCGCTGCAGAATGCTGTGGTAGCCATGCTGGTTATGTCACGATCGTTATTAGATGAGACGGACCAAGGCGCAGCGTGATAAGCGTACATTTTATTTAGTACACAACACACAAACAAAACAACAAAATGAACGATACGTGAAGTCCTGAGGTTACAACAACACAAACCTTTACGGAACAAGATCCCACAAACTAACTGGTGCCAACAGGCTGCCTAAGTATGGTCCCCAATCAGAGACAACGAGCTACAGCTGCCTCTGATTGGGAACCACCCTGGCCAACATAGAACTAAACGATCTAGAACAAAAAACATAGAAAACTAAACATAGAAAATCCACACCCTGGCTCAACATTTAAGAGTCCCCAGAGCCAGGGCGTGACAGTACCCCCACCCCCAAAGGCGCGGACTGCGACCGCGCCACACAAACACAAGAGGGTAGGGGCCGGGTGGGAATTCCGCCTAGGAGGCGGCTCCGGCTCCGGGCGTGACCACCACCTTTTCTCCACCTCCCCGTTGCGCCCCTGGTCTGGTCTGGCCCCGCTGACTGGAGCTGGACCCGACGACGGTGGACCAGACCTTACCGGCTCCGGACTGGAGCCGCTGGCCGGAGCTGGACTGGACACCGGTGGAGCGGATTGCTCTGGCTCCGGAGTGGATCCGCTGACTGGAGTTGGACCGGACCCCGGTGGAGCGGATTGCTCTGACTCCGGAGTGGAGCAGCTGACCGGTGCCGGACCAGGCACCGGTGGAACAGGCACGGGCCGTGCCGGACTGGACACACGCACCACTGGCTTGGTGCAGGGAGCAGGAACGGGCCGGACCGGGCTGACGACGCGCACCACTGGCTTGGTGCGGGGAGCAGGAACGGGCCGGACCGGGCTGACGACGCGCACCACAGGCTTGGTGCGAGGGACAGGAACAGGCCGGACCGGGCTGGCGACGCGCACCACTGGCTTGGTGCGAGGGACAGGAACAGGCCGGACTGGACTGGGAACACGCACCACTGGCTTGGTGCGGGGAGAAGGAACAGGCCGGGCTGGACTGGGAACACGCACCATTGGCTTGGTGCGGGGAGCCGGAACGGGCCGGGCCGGACTGTGGAGGCGGACTGGAGGTCTGGAGCGGAGAGCTGACACAACCCGTCCTGGCTGAATGCCTATTTCCACACAATATGTGTGAGGCATCAGCACAGGACGTACAGGGCTGTGCACTCGTACTGGCGCTACAGCACGTGGCACTGGCGCAGGATATATGGGACCGAGGAGGCGTACTGGAGGCCACGAGCGTTGAGCCGGCACACCCCGTCCTGGCTGCATGCCCATCTTAGCACGACACGTGCGTGGTGCTAGCACCGGACGTACAGGACTGTGCCGGAACACTCGCGGCACAGTACGTGGCTCCGCATAACACGGAGCCTGCCCAGTCTCACGCTTCCAAGCCTGAGTACGGGGAGTTGGCTCTGCTCTAACTCTAGGCTCCGCCAACCACCCTTTTAGCCCCCCCAAAAAATTGTCTTGGGGCTGTCTCTCGGGCTTCCTCCTCGGCCGGTACCCTCTGCGTTGCCGCTGCTCCTCTCTGTAGCGCGCCTCCACAGTCTCCTCCCAAGGACGGCGATCCATTCCGGCCTAAATCTCTTCCCAAGTCCAGGATCCCTTCCCGTCCAGGATCTCCTCCCAAGTCCAGGCTGTCTGTTCCTGGACACGCTGCTTGGTCCTCTTTAGGTGGGATCTTCTGTCACGTATCGTTGGTTTGTTGTTTTGGTTTTGTTCGTGTGTTAAGTACTAATTAAAGATGTACGCTTATCACGCTGCGCCTTGGTTCCACGAGTCATCAGTCAACGTTCGTGACAGGTTAAGTGTGCCTTGAATTCTAAATAAATCACCAACAGTGTCACCAGCAAAGCACACCCACACCATAACACCTCGTCCTCCATGCTTTACGGTGGGAACTACACATGCGGAGATCCTCCGTTCACCCACACCACGTCTCACAAAGACACAGAGGTTTGAACCAAACATCTTAAATTTGGACTCCAGACCAAAGGACACATTTCCACCGGTCTAATGTCCATTGCTTGTTTTTCTTGTCCCAAGCAGGTCTCTTCTTATTATTGGTGTCCTTTAGTAGTGGTTTCTTTGCAGCAATTCGACCATGAAGGCCTGATTCACAGAGTCCCCTCCGAACAGTTAATATTGAGATGTGTCTGTGACTTGAACTCTGTGAAGCATTTCTTTGGCCTGCAATTTCTGAGGCTGGTAAGTCTAATGAACTTATCCTCTGCAGCAGAGGTAACTCTGGGTCTTCCTTTCCTGTGGTGGTCCTCATGAGAGCCAGTTTCATCATAGTCATAGTTTTTGCGACTGCACTTGAAGAAACTTTCAAAGTTCTTGACATTTTCCGTATTGACTGACCTTCATGTCTTAAAATAATGATGGACTGTAATTTATCTTTGCTTATTTGAGCTGTTTGCCACAATATGGACTTGGTATTTTACCAAATAGGGCTATCTTCTGTATACCCCCCCTACCTTGTCACAACACAACTGATTGGCTCAAACGCATTAAGAAGGAAAGAAATTCCACAAATTATCTTTTAAGAAGGCACACCTGTTAATTTAAATGCATTACCTCATGAAGCTGGTTGAGAGAATGCCAAGAGTGTGCAAAGCTGTCATAAAGGCAAAGGGTGGCTATTTGACGAATCTCAAATATAAAATATATTTTGATTTGTTTAACACTTTTTTGGTTACTACATGATTCCATATGTGTTATTTCATAGTTTTGATGTCTTCATTATTATTCTACAATGTAAAAAATAGCAAAAAATAACGAAAAACCCTTGAATGAGTAGGTGTGTCCAAACTTCTGACTCGTAGTGTATGTTAACAATCAGCTTTTCTATGTTGGAATGGTGTGGGCATACACCAACAACAGAATGGTGTGGACATATAACGGTTATTAAAAATATTCAGCAGACTGCTGATTGGCCATTGACATCACCCTCTGAGGAAATAGCAAGCAATTTTTAAACGTCTTTTTGAGATACAAGTTTGAGGTGGGGTCAACAATATTTTTGGGTATGGGTTAAAAGGGAGATTTTCACTGGTCAGTTACTTTAGCTAACTTATCAATATGCTTTTTAAAAGACAGCTTATGGTCTATCCAGATGCCCAGATATTTGTAAGCAAGAACACGATCAATGTGGGCATCATCCAAAGTACTTAATCTTAAATCAATAGCATCATTTTTATGAGCTCCTGAAAATGACATATACTTAATTTGACATGCATAATGGATGATCAGTCCTTGCATCCA